CTACTCCTACTACTACGAACTACTACACTACTACTACTACTAACTACTACTACAATCACTACAATCACTACAACTACTACACGACTACGACTACGACTACTACTAGTCGACTACGACTACGACTACGATAGACTACGATTACTACTACTACTACTACTACTACTACTACTACTACTAAACTACTACTAACTACTACTACTACTACTGTGGTACTACTACTACTACAACTACTACACCTACTACTCTTTACTACCACCACCACCTACTACTACTACTACTACTACTACTACTTACTACTACTACTACTACTACTACTAAACTACTACTACTACTACTACTACTACTACTACTACTACTACTACTATTACTACTACTACTACTACTACTACTACTACTACTACTACTACTACTACTACTACTACTACTACTACCACTACTACTACTACTACTACGACTACTACTACGACTACGACTACGACTACGACGACGACTACGACTACGACTACCTACGACTACGACTACGACTACGACTACGACTACGACTACGACTACGACTACGACTACGACTACGACTACGACTACGACTACGACTACGACTACGACTACTGCTACTGCTACTGCTACTGCTACTGCTACTGCTACTGCTCCTACTGCTACTGCTACTGCTACTGCTCCTACTGCTACTGCTACTGCTGCTGCTGCTACTGCTACTGCTACTGCTACTGCTACTGCTACTACTACTACTACTACTACTACTACTACTACTACTACTACTACTACTACTACTACTACTACTACCACGCTACTGCTGCTGCTGCTGCTGCTGCTCCCTCTGCTGCTGCTGCTGCTGCTCCCTCTGCTGCTGCTGCTGCTGCTGCTGCTGCTGCTGCTGCTGCTGCTGCTGCTGCTGCTGCTGCTCGGGCCACCTCCCCCCCAACCCTAATTACCTCCGCCCCCTTGCTGATCTTCGCCCGCCTGCTGGGGGCGACGCACAGAGAGCTCGAGGACGAGCTCGAGGGGTGGAGGCGGATGGACGGGTCGAGGCCGAGGGACGCAGAGGACGGGCAGGCGGGGCCAGACGTGGGGGTCGAGGTAGCGAGGCGAGCCGGTGAGGAGCCGGGTGGGAGGAGAGGGCGAAGGGGGGGAATGCGGGCTCGGGGGTCCCTTGGGCGACGGAGGCGGAGGCGGCGGTGAACGGCCCCCCCACACCAGCCTGGTGCTCGGCTCCGCCGCCAGCTTCGCGGCGTCGAGGGGCGCCTGAACGAAGAGCATCTTCACCTGGCGGGGCGGCCGCTCGCCGCCCGCTGGACGGGCCGTGCCCCCCAGGTCGCCCTCGAGTCAAGCCCGTCTGTGCAGCGTGTCGCGCAAGCTGAGCTTTTCCGTCGCGCGCTTGCCGTAATTAGTTCACATCACGAACCTGGCGAAAGGAGATCGTAAAGCAGATCCGCAAACCCCGATCGATAGGAGTGAGGGCCGATGCTGCACCAAACGCGCAACATGATTTTTATCACGATCGAAGGCCAGCAGCTTCGCCACCGTGTCGCTCCGCATGCCGCTAAATTGCGTCCAGAAATTACAGCTGAGAAAACCCAAATCAGTGGATGATTTGAAAATCAGTCATATGGATCTTGGGATCGATTGTGAGATCGATAATGAGATCGACAGTGGAATCGATAGTTGACGATTGTAAGGTCGATCGTGAGACCGAGAGTGAAATCGATTCAATGAGATCGATAGGGAGATCGATCGCGAGATCGCTCGTGCGATCTCTAGTGAGATCGCTTGCGAGATCGATTGTGAGATCCATTGTAAGATCAATTGTGAGATCGGTACAGAGGTGGGAAATGAGATCGACGCTGAGACCGATCGATAAGAAGATCGACCAAGAACCCGGGAACCTGGGAACCACGCCACCCACCGAAATCGGCCCGGGAGCCGGGAACCCGGGACCCCGGAACCGGGAACCCGGGAACCCAGCCTGCCAGCAAAATCGGCGTGAAACACTCGCCTTCTCTTTCAATATCCGCTAGGACCCCTTCAGTGCAAGCACTTGGGGAATATTGGCCACCAGCCCAATGCGAGATGGCTCACGAGGGCATGGAGGGCCTGCAGCAGGAGATTGCCCTCTCAGCTACGCCTGTTTCCGCTCCTCGCGGCACCGCTACAAGGCCACTCATCATCAGCAGCAGCATCATCATCAGCAGCAGCATCAGCATAAACATCAGCATCATCATCATCATCGTCATCAGCAGCATCAACAACAACAAATACAACAACAATAACAAGACGACCAGTCGACAGCGCAGCGTCCATGTCATATCCTATAAAAGCCTGCACCTGCCTGAATGAAAATGCGATCAGCACAGCATCCGCGAATCGAAGATTAGCAAGCCACTCAGATCCATGCGCTCTGAATTTCATGCCGGAGTGTCTGTTGGCCCACTTGGAGCGAAACTTGCCAACGACGAGTTCAGACAGGCAGATGAATAATGATGAGCTCAATGGGTCGCCTTGTTTGGTTCGACGGTCGTTCGAAAATATATTGCTGCATACGTTCGTCTTGACACATACTGTCTGGTCTGCGTACATGCACACGACGTGGCTGATGCACGAAAAAAAGGGGCTCCATGAGCTCGCATAGCTGCGCACAATGATTCATGAGAGACTGTATCAAACGTTTGTTTGAAACCAGGCGTAGCCACCCGCACTAGTCGTTGGAACTCGCTCTCCTTCTCTTGAAGGACAGCGAAACTCAATAGATGGTCATCTGTGATGAAATGGCGTCGAAATCTGGCTTGATCAGGCGTCTGCTTAGATTCCAAAATGAGTCCCAGTTGGTTGTATAGTAATCGCGAGAAGAACTTGCACATGAGCGGGATCATGTAGATACGCTGGTAGGTTTGCGGAAGATCCAGCTCGCCTGACCTGAAAATCACACTGACCTGGGTGCGTTTCCACTGGCGCGGTGTCACAGTCCCGTTCATGACAACATCATTGAGAAGCTGCCGCAAAGCACGCCTGAGGGCCTCTCAACTGCACTTCAACATTCAAGAGGCTCCCCCCCTCGTGTCTGCAGCTCTTCCGTTCCTGTGCTGCCGGAGGCCATGCCGCAGTTCCCCATCACCGAAAGGAAGGATGGTCCCGCGCTCCTCTGCGCCGCCGCGCGTGGGGGGCTCGAGATCCACACCTCTCTGTTCTGAGTATAGAGAAGCGTAAAGGTCTGAAAATATGTCGGCTATGCCAGTTCTGTCGCGGACCTGTTCCCCAGGAGCTGACCGCATCGTAGAACTGATATGCTTCTGTGTTGCACTTGTGATCCAACTGATTCTGTTCAGACCCCGAAACTTCGCAGGAAATGTGGTGATCCTCACTGCGTATCTCGCGCCGCATTCGTTTGCTCAATTGTTGTCGCATGGCCGTCGCTGTACTCCCAAGCTGCTTGCGTTTTGGATGAGGTCGTCCAGTTTGCCCCGATGCCGTGGTACCACAGGAGATCCCATAGAATTCCGCTGGATTGTCCCTGGAAGGAACGGGAGGGAGAAGTAAGATGTCAGATATGACGAGAGCGCACCTAGCTTACCTCCATCCTCTCTCTCTCTCTCTCGCTTCTCCTCTCCTCTCGTCTCTCTTCTATCATCCTTCTACAACGCTGCTTTTCCTCGGCGCACTAAAGCTGGAAACGGCGACTCCCCTGATGGCAGCGTCTATCACTGAGAATAAGTTTGTGAAGTGCGACTTTTAGCATCACGGGGCAGCGCCCAAGTGTAGAAGCCGCAACAGCGACACCGCTGTCGCGAAGAGCTGGGAGGGTCATCCTGATGGTGCGGCCTCCCTGTGTGGCGGCGCCCCGCTGGAGACAGCTGGTTTTCTTGGGGCCGCCTGGCTCTGCGTGATGACCCTGTGTGGAGGTGCTCGGCGACGGCGCCGAAGCTGGGGGCGTGCAGCAGCCTTCGTGCCCCTTCCCTTCCCCAACCCCGCCCCCTCGTCCGACCCGAACACGTCCAGTCTCCAGCCTGGGGAGGCATGGCAGGCCTCCTCGCTGAAGGTGGGCCGCCAGTGGTGAGATGGCACGCCCGAGATGGGGACGGGGAGGTGGGGGAGATGCCCAGCAGCAGATGTTGCACAAAACCGGAAGCGGCTGCTGCTGGGCAGGCAACGCTTGTCCCAGGTCGACAGCCTCCGCGGCGACACCGACAGCAAGTGCTGCTCAAAACGCGCAGGACAACTTGTCGGTCCTCGTCCCCATGATCTCCGTCTCCGCTTCGGTCAGGAGAAAGAGAGGGGAGGAGGGGAAGGAGGAGGAGGAGGAGGAGGAGGACGAGGAGGGAGGAGGCCGGATGAAGGGGGGAGGCGGAGGAGGCCGAGGGGGAGGACGGGAGGGGGAGGAGGGGGAAGCGGAGGAAGAAGAAGGGGGAGCCCTGAGATCGGGTTGCGAAAAGGTGCAGCATCGCGACAAATCTCGACCAGAGCCCCAGACCCCACCTTTCTGCGAAGTTTTTCCGGACAGATCAGTCCCAAGTACCAAAGCCAGGCGAAAACGCTGGCTGTGAAAAATGCAACGCTCGGATCCAAGGGCACTTGAATCTCCCTGACTGAGGGGCGTCGCTCACCCCCCCTCCGACCAGGGCCGGATCAGCCAGCACCGAATCGGTAAATCGGACCGATCCGACATGTGCATCAGATCGAGCTGCATCCGCACGGAATCGAGACCGAATCGGATCGGCCACATCAGGATGCACAGCGGCGCCATACAAGCATCGGGCCGCATCGGCTCGTCGGAATATCAGAATCGAGCCAGACCAGCATCGACGTCGGCTCGGACCGGATCGAATCGTATCGACATCGCATCGACATCGAATCGATATCGACTTGAACCAGGCCGAAAAGGGGCAGCGCCGGAGCGGGCGGCTCTGGCCTGGCCCTCCTGCGCCCCGCACCAGTGCGCGAACTTTGGTCCGCGTCTGTCGCAGGTCTGCCTCGTGGCCGCCTCCTGGCAGCTCCCCGCCCGCCGCGCGCCCGCTCCGGAGAGGATGGAGGAGGACCCGAAGAGGGAGGCCCTCGGCCCCTACTCCTGCTGCTGCTCCTGCTCCTGCTCCTCGTCGTCGTCGTCCTCCTCCTTCTCCTCCTCCTCCTCCTCCTCCTCCTCCTCCTCCTGCGGCACTGCGACACTGCGACACTGCGACACAACTAGAAGGGAACACAAGAGGGGATAGAGTGAGCAACCCAACCTCCCACGGTAAGACTACGCTGGCTGGATATTCCTCCTCCTCCTCATCTTCCTCATCCGCCTCCTCTTCCTCCTCCTCCTCCTCCTCCTCCTCCTCCTCCTCCTCCTCCTCCTCCTCCTCCTCCTCCTCCGTCTCCTCATTTGAGGGAGTTTCTGTGGAACTCACGTCATCCTCACCCCCGGCGCGAAGAGCACGAGCCCAGAGCGGCCTCCGGCACCGTTTCCGGACGGATCCGCTGGATCCGCTGGATCCGCTGGATCCGGTGACGAATCCCAAACCGGCGCCCTCGCCTGAGACATCCTCACAAAACGGGCCCCGGGGGGGATGCCCAGAGGAGCCCAGAGCGGCCTCCGGCACCGTTTCCGGACGGATCCGCTGGATCCGCTGGATCCGGTGACGAATCCCAAACCGGCGCCCTCGCCTGAGACATCCTCACAAAACGGGCCCCGGGGGGGATGCCCAGAGGAGCCCAGAGCGGCCTCCGGCACCGTTTCCGGACGGATCCGCTGGATCCGCTGGATCCGGTGACGAATCCCAAACCGGCGCCCTCGCCTGAGACATCCTCACAAAACGGGCCCCGGGGGGGATGCCCAGAGGAGCCCAGAGCGGCCTCCGGCACCGTTTCCGGACGGATCCGCTGGATCCGCTGGATCCGGTGACGAATCCCAAACCGGCGCCCTCGCCTGAGACATCCTCACAAAACGGGCCCCGGGGGGGATGCCCAGAGGAGCCCAGAGCGGCCTCCGGCACCGTTTCCGGACGGATCCGCTGGATCCGCTGGATCCGGTGACGAATCCCAAACCGGCGCCCTCGCCTGAGACATCCTCACAAAACGGGCCCCGGGGGGGATGCCCAGAGGAGCCCAGAGCGGCCTCCGGCACCGTTTCCGGACGGATCCGCTGGATCCGCTGGATCCGGTGACGAATCCCAAACCGGCGCCCTCGCCTGAGACATCCTCACAAAACGGGCCCCGGGGGGGATGCCCAGAGGAGCCCAGAGCGGCCTCCGGCACCGTTTCCGGACGGATCCGCTGGATCCGCTGGATCCGGTGACGAATCCCAAACCGGCGCCCTCGCCTGAGACATCCTCACAAAACGGGCCCCGGGGGGGATGCCCAGAGGAGCCCAGAGCGGCCTCCGGCACCGTTTCCGGACGGATCCGCTGGATCCGCTGGATCCGGTGACGAATCCCAAACCGGCGCCCTCGCCTGAGACATCCTCACAAAACGGGCCCCGGGGGGGATGCCCAGAGGAGCCCAGAGCGGCCTCCGGCACCGTTTCCGGACGGACGACCTGACTGCATAACACGCCTGGATATGCCGACGGGGGCGAAGGAGGAGGAGGAGGAGGAGGAGGAGGAGGAGGAGGAGGAGGAGGAGGAGGAGGAGGAGGAGGAGGAGGAGGAGGAGGGGGAGGGGGCAGGCGAGGGAGCCCCGGCCCTGGGGGAGGGGCCCTGAGGGAGCCCTGATGGGTTTCCGGCACCATGGAGAGGTCCTGTGGGGCGGCCGCCCCTTCTTCTCTCGGTCGTTTCCCTCTCGCCCAGAAGCGCGCGCCCCTTCTTCTATATATACAGAAACTCCCGATCAACCGCAGAGCGGCGGATGTTCATCATCCTCCTCCTCTTCCTCTTCCTCCCCGTCCATCCCTTTTCCTTATACACAACTCGTCCCGGTTGCACCTCCAGGCTTCTCGGCAGGGCGGACCGGGCGTCTGGCCTCAGATTCTTCCGCACCATGTATGACCCTGGAAGCGTGAAATTTGCAACAAAAAATTCACGGATGGAGGGCGGGTGATTTACGAGGTTTGCCATATACCGCCGCGCAAATTCGTCTCAAAACTTACAACCGTTTCACGGATGGAGGGCGAGTTCTTTTCAAAATGTGGCTCTCGTCCTCGTACCGCGAAACCTGGTCTTAAAAACTTGCAGCTGTTTCACAGATGGAGGGCTGGTCCTCTTCAAAATGCGGCTCTCGACTTTGCGCCGCGCACATTCGTCTCACACGTTTGCAACAGCTTGAAGGGTTCGCAGGGTTACAGTCCCAGGAATTGCGTTCTGGCACGATCCAGCACTGTCAGGACGCAACAGTCATGTTGACTCTCGGCGTTAAGGTCCCAGGGACTCTGCTCCAGTACGGTTTCTAATACGGTTCAAGATTGTCTGGGCGCAGCAATCATAGTGACTCGCGGTATTGAAGTCCCAAGAATGGTGTTCTGGCGCGATTGAAGATGCACTTCCCGCAATGAAAATACACTCTTTCTTTTTGCTAGGGAGTGAGGAGGGAGCACGACCACAGAGCTTCACCAGACTTGGCCCCGACCTCTGTGCGAATCAACAGGTGGCCAGGCAAACCGGGAACCCCACACGGGCCGACCTACGATAGGCAAACTCATGCACCGAAACGTGGCCTGAAAGAGTGACGCGCGCGCCGCATGCGAGTGGAGAGGGAGAAGCGAGGAGAACCCTCAAGTCAACTTGAGTGACGCGGGAATCGAAATGTGGTATAGGTCAAGCTTGTTCTACGAGCGCACGCCATCACGCGTACATCGACCTTGTTGGATCCCCCCGTTTCAGACAAAATGCGATACGCGGGGACGGAGTGCACCAGACCCATGGGGGAGGGATCTCGGACCTGTGGGGACCTATGAAGAGGGAATTCGGAAGGAGTGTTTATTGCAACATCGCTGATCGTCGTGAGTTTACGCTTGTCCTCCTCCTCCTCCTCCTCCTCCTGCTCCTCCTCCTCCTCCTCCTGCTCCTGCGCTCGTACCACGGCGAGCTCAGTCTTATCCACTGCTACTACTGCTACTACTACTTGAACTACTGCTGCCGCTGCTCCCAGCCGCGGTCCTTGCCGAAGCCGTGGGACGGGTGGCGGAAGTAGTCGCCGTATGCGGGCGCAAATCATGGACGGTGCGAAAGAGAGACGAGCGGAGCTGGGGAAGGAGGGCGGAAGCGGCATCCCACGAGAGAGGATGGGTTCGACATGGGCAAGGAGTGAAAAAGTAAAAGGCAGAGACGACTATCTTCAAGGATTTAGCTGTGGGGTGACGGAGGCCTAATCGGTGAATGGGGCATTCTGGAAACGGGTGGCCGTGAAACTCCTGTAATAACCCCCAGAACCGAGGACAGACGAGGTAGTGGGCCTGAGAGTCTAACCCATCTGTGCAGCCGAACATACATCTCTGACACTGCTGGAATCGCGATTGAGTCGTCCAAGCACCAGCAAGTGTTTTCAGCACAGCTTGCCTCCAAGCAGGAGGAAGAGATACAACAACAGTCTTGACCTGCGGCCAGCAGATCGCATCCAACTGCCGCGTCGGGACATTGGGGAAGAGGTGGGCGAGAAGGGCACGGAACGTCGGAGCGAGCGAGGGAGGAAAGAGGGAAGACATGAGGCTCTCGGCGGCGGCACGCTGGATCTTCTTGCCCTCACGCTGGGCCTCCAGTGCACACTGTAAAGCACGGTGGCCAGCCTTCGCAAAATGCGGATCGTTGCTGAAACCTGTCGACGCAGCATGCAAAGTGTCGCAGATCGGGGGCTCTGTCCAAAATTCTGGGCAGCGGCGGCCTCCACTTATATCTTCAAGGGAAAGCTCCGACCCCGCCTCCGAGAGCCGAGCAACGCAAGACCGCCATACCGAGAACGTGCTGATTGACGCTCGAATGAGCGTCGCCAGGTTGAGCACAAGAACACTACGGAGGCGAGGTCCGCCCCAGCTTTTGAGTGAGAAGAACGCCTGACGAGACAGCGAGCAGTGCGGCATCTTTAAAATCGAAGCGCAAACAGCATGCTCTTTTGGAAGCACTGTCTTGGGGATCCGACAGAACTGAGCGATGTACCCCAAACAGGAGAGAGCACGCGAGTCGTATAAAGCGGTGGCGATGGCTGCGGGTGCTCCAGACTGGGCGATGCTGAACGATCGTTTCGCCCATTTGGCTACTGGCGCATCCCAGGAGGACGGGGACGCAGCAGGCCCTAGAAAGACACCTAAGTAGAGCAGCTTGGGAACTATGCATATCTCTGACCACTCGGGCAGGTGCTGATTGATCCAGCTCTTATAAGTCTTGGCGACAGCCTCTGAGAAGGGTCCGCTTAATGGCACTAGTTTACTTTTACTCAATTCGAGGGTTAGGTTGGCCACCCGTTTCGAAGCCCGAAAAAACCGTATATAATTTTCTGAGGGCGGTCAGATCTCGAACCACACTGCCTTTGTCGTCCGCGCAGGCCCTCACAGGGCCCAGCTGCTTCTTCTCGAGGAGGGTTTCGAAGTGTTCGACGAATGGATGAGACGCCACCGCATATAAGGCCCCGCTCGCAGGACACCCTTGGACAAGCCCCGACTCGACGAGGTAAAGGAAAAGCATGCACTGCCCGAGCTGGCCGTAGCACGCGACCTGCGTGTAAATAAACTCCAGAAACTCGAAGGGGTGCTGGGGGAGGTTGAGTGATTTCAGGATGAGGAAGATCCAGTGCTGGGAGGTGGAGGGGGAGGCCTGGCCGTAGTCGAAAGAGAGAAGAGCAGGGAGCCTGGAAGTGCAATCTGGCATCATCGATGTGATCCGTGCCTCGGCATCGAGCTCTTTGATGTTGTCCCCGAAATTTCGCCTGGGCACGAAGCCCCTCTGGGCCCGATGTATGAATCCTGGAAGGGCCCTCGTCAGAGGTTGTATGACAACCGAAGTTAAGATCTTGCAGTCAGTGTTCTTTAGTCCTAAGGGGCGGGTTCCACTGGCATCTCGGATCACTTTGTCGTTATCC